TTTAACTTATGTATTTTATTGTTTTTGTTGTTTTATTTCATTTTTAACTATAATTCAACTATTTTGACCCCAAAACAAACACATAAACTTTAAACAAGACTAAATGACCAATGTTTTATCTCTTTTTAGGAAAAATGACATTTCCATATGTTTTGTACACAAATCACAAAAATGCGCGATTTTCGGGCTGACATGCGAAGACAAAAGGTCATGTGACTTTGTAACTATACCTCCGATTTTCGAAAAAATCGTTTTAAAAGATGCATAAGACTCAAAAGAAAAAAGTCATGAAAGGAAAATTTTATATCTGCCGCGGTTTCGGAGTAGTCGCGAAATTTCTACAGGGGGGGGGGGGGTCAAACCCAATGAGTACTGAATTCTCTCGTTCCATAGGCTTAGTATATGGATCATCCAGTGCCAGTAGGCGATGGGTTAACTCTGTATTAAAGTACATGAATTAATGCCCTTCTGGCCACAAACAGACAATGTTTCTTAATTTATAAATATCATACCTGTACGCTCCTGTATGAGGTTAGAAATGGAACCATGACATGGAACCCTGGTCCACTGGTTGTCTGCAATAAGGCACCACCCTGTACATAGGAAAGAAGGTTTAAGGTTCAGAGTCAGACAATATTTTAAAGGGAAATTATTTTTTTGTTCTTACCGATAGCATGTTCCTGAGATAAAAATATACAGTTTAGTTGAGTAAATTTTATCATGTAGTATTTCTCATATTTCTAATTCAGAATAATTCAATTATGGGATAACAGGTTTATTCATTATTTCTTGCCATACATGTTATTTTTTGTTATTTTACATTTTTCTTTTGTTTCCCTGTAAATTTAATTAATTTATCTTTCAAGGGAACTGAAGAAAAGATTTTGTTTTAAAAAATGGGTGCATTGTTAATGTTGTTAATATTCTTGAAAGCCTATTGCTTGCAGGAAGATTGATAAACATTGTACTCTATTGTATGTTGCAATAGCTTGTGACTTTTACATCTTTGACTTAATTACCTCTAAACTTTATCACTTAATGCCAATACCACCTTTTGTGACCCCAAAAATCAAGGATACACACATTCAAAAGCTGGGATCAACTCTGAGGAGACACAATACCCTGCAGTCACAGTAGAAAAATGGATAACTATCCATATTCATTTTATCAAAATGGTTTTTGATACTTACCCTGTAATACACACCAACATGACCTATTCATAAAAGAAAACAAACAAAAACAGAGATTAATCAGTTTATCAAATGAGTCATTGCACAATTACAATGTGCACAGGTAATTTGGACTTCCCAAACCACCCCATAAGAACATATTTCACTCAGTTTACTTTAGACCAAGGGTGAACAAAGCCCTACCCAGAATCCTGATTATTCATTTTTTCCTTCTGATGTGACATGTCCTTTGGTATTCTTTAACCAATGGGAAAAGAACTTCTTTAATAATGACATATGAATCAATAAATTCAATTCAATTCATTAAATATTAACTAACAATAACTAAGTGTCTTTGAAAATCCCCTTCTATTATAAAGGGGGGTTCATCCAATTTTAAAATACAATAACAAATAAAACATAGACCTTGTATAATAGAGTATTTCCCTGTCTGTACACCATAAACAATGTGTGAGATTTTGATAGCCTAGCCATGCGAGACTAGCACCTACACAGGCTACTCCATACTAGAATGAAATTGACAAATGTGAGAGCCATTGCCAACCTGGGACCATATAAAAGAAAGAAAAAATTAACTAAGCCTAGTTGTCAACTAAACATTGAATTAGTTGACAACTAGCATATGGGCCCTGGTGTATGATTGACTACTGGTATGTTTGGCGGTAACAATATGGCGGTAACAATATGGCGTCTTTCTTTTAATTATCTCATTAGAGTCTGTGAATGCAGACTATCATTGTCCTGATAATGCAGAGTTGACCTTAGTTTGTAATGATAATAGATCAGTCAACTACAAAATTGGGGGCTTTGTTTACACTTCAGCCAAACCCACATTGGATATGTTTACTCAACAGCCCTGCATCATAATACCCTTAAATCTGGCAGTACAAAGTTTCTTATTTTCTAAATTACTAATTCTTTCCTTCGCCAAATTGGCAACAATTTATTTTATTTTCCACGACTTCATAGTATGGTGAAAAAAAATTGAAATGTTTTTAAAGGAATCAATGTGAAAGTAAATTGCAAATTTTAACCAAAAAATTTCAAATTTGTACATGAAAACAGTGATTTTATATTTTACACTGCATTGCCAATTCAGAGACTTTAATGATTGGTTACAATTAGCTCACTCTTAATTGAGAATGGCACAATGTACAGAATTAGAAATTGACTAAAAAATTTCCATGATTTTTGCTCTTTCTGCTCATGGATGTGAAATTCCTAGAATATTCTTGATCAAAAAATTAATTGCCAAAAATGTCACTAAACTCGACGGGTTAAACTAGTTTGCACTCACACACCCATGTATAAAGGAATAAGATTTAATAAAACAGGGGCTGATCTCCTTTTAATATATATTTTCAAATATAAACAAATTAGAACACTATGCATTTCATTAAATGTTAGCATTTGTATTTCAAATTTTCAATCTTCTAATTTCCTTTTTTGTTCTTGTCTTTTGTTTCTCTCCTTAGCTTCTGATTTCAGTTATAATTTTGACCTTTAAATTTGAAAATCCTCTATCTTTTGATATCATATTTCTTTCAGCCTCTTTCATTCTTCTCTTTAAAAAAAAACATATTTTACACATTTCTTCTATAACTTCTGTTACACTAAGCTGTTTTTTTCTTCTTCATCTCTTCTTCTTCTTCTTCTTCTTCTTCTTCTTCTTCTTCTCCAATTCTTCTCCTGATCCTTCTTTATTTTCCTCCACTTCTCCCTCTTATTTCCTAAACCTCATTTCATTATTCTTTTAATTTGCCTTACTCTTCTTCTTCTTCCTTTTGAGTACAGACCTCTTTACAGAGTATTATCGTACTATACTGGGGGTGTGCAGGTGGACCACTACACCGGGGTTTCCCCCTACTCTTATACGAATAGTGCAGTGGGTTCTTAACGTGCAAAGGTAGTGACTCTTCTCTACACGGGGCCTCCATTTAACGTCCTATCCGAGGGACGGAGTGTTTTCCACTTGACATAACCTGCGTCTATGAACAAGGGAAGGGGCACGTTAACACACAACGCAGGTTACTCTACACACTTACCTTCATCAATTCTATGGATTGCAAAGTTAAAGAGGAATGCAGAAATACCAATGGCCAATGCCAGAGCTGGGAGAGGGTTAGCCATAGTTGAAGTACTGTTCTCACTAGTATCGGTACTAAATAAATCAAGCTGAAGAAAACAAATTTGGGAAATTTAATAGACTAGGGTCTAGTCTTAGTTTTATCTTTTTCTAATCTTCTAATTTCATACATAATAAATTGCATCATAGCCAAGCCTTTGCTGAACATTAAAGTACTTTACGAAGTAATATAAAATGAACTATTCGTCATCAGCTGAAATCAAACTTATTGCTTTAGATTTATATCAATCGAGTTAGGCCTAGTATTTTTCACAAAATTTTAATATTGTTCACAAAATTTACTTTAATTTTAACAAAAAACTGTTGAGCATTGAAGTCGAAGTAGGCCTAATGAAATGCTACATTATTCTGCAGTTGATGAATGTCAGCTTTTCTGATAGTAACACCTTCATCTATACGAAGAAAATATAAACGGCATAGATCTAGATCTAGTTGCTGAACAAAGACGAGTGGCCAAAGTCTCATTAATATCAACCATTTACAACATAAAAATGAACATATGGGACACCACTGAACAAAAAAATGCAACACATCCGTTTCATCAAATGAATTCCAGGTCCTGATCCCAACTTTTCAATTCATGCATGTAAGCCTAATGATTCAAATTATTTCATCTGAACCTGAATTACTAAAAGGTGCTAAAAATCGATGGGAAATGTTATTTCACTAACCTTCACTGTTCTTTCTCAGTTTCTCTTGAAGTCCGAGGTAAGCGCCAATGGAGGTGAGTTGAAATTTGTTACACAATAGCGGTACGTTCTCTAAATAGACCGTGTGCAAAACTGAATGTAAATGTTTAGATCGGATACGAATCCTATTAGGGGTGGGGTCATATCGCTAAATTTAGATACATACACGTGTATCAAAGGGGATCAAAGGCCGCGTGTGGTAAAAAAAAAAACATTTTGTAAAGGAAACACACTAATTATGTATGCGGGCGCCTCGTTGCCCATTACAAAATAATTATGAGAACTGCTTTCGCACAAAAAACAATTATTTATACTGGTCCAGTATTTTGGAATAACAATTTTTAAACAGTCTTTATACACATTTAAAAAAAAAATAAGATAAAGATTATTAAACTTGTAAACGGTTTGTTTGCCTCTCGACTCAATCTCTTTCACCCTCATTCTACTGATCTAATCTCCTTTTTCTAGAGCTTTTGCAATCATTCATTTTCCCTTTTTGTATCTTTCTTTCTTTTTGCCTTCTACTATTTTCCTCCATTTTTTTTCCAAAAAAAAAAATCTATTATTTCTTAGCTACATATTTTTCTATTTATTGATTTCTAAGCATACAGTCTTTGTTCAGTATTGTAAAACAGTGTCAGACTGTCAGTATCTGATGAGGAACTATCACTTCAACAAGCTCTGCTTCTAGTTAGTTCCTCTTTGCTCGTGCTTTTTCAATTTGTCGTTTTATTTTTTTAATATATAATTATTCATTGTATTATGTTTTGCATGAGAAATACAATCATTTGAATTGATATTTAGTCGACTTGCGATGCATGAAGGATATTCGGGTAGTGAAGCGAACGATATAAAATCATATATAAAATATATAAGTGGCACCCTGCTGCCCGAAAGTGACGATATTAGGGCACCTCGCTGTCAAAAGAGATATTTTTGCACCTAATTATAATTCAGGCACTTCACTAGCTGCCTAAACTTGACGGTAGGCCTACACTGTTTCTAAACGAGCGAAGCAAGTGAGGAAAAAAGAAAATTAGCTAGGCCTACTATTGTATGTAAAATGTTATTTCTTTCCAATAATAATATTTGTCTCCACGAAATCACGTTTATTTCGGGTCCAAAAATAAATGTTAAATTCATTAATTCTCTCGCGGCACCCCAATGTTTGCGTTACCCTAGTTGAAAAAAAATTGTTCTAAGGTTTCATGTGAGCCTACCGTCAAACTGACGGATTTCATGATGATGCATGGATCTAATTTCGTTAAATGAGAAGAGAAGAATGCAAAGAAATTATGAATGACCAAAACAGAATAGGCCTGTGAAAAGTATTATTGTATACATGTAATTTGTGTAGGTCATTGGAAATGCTTAGGATCAAATAGAAAAACATTTTTCATCTCATTCTATATAGCGGAAGATTTTTTCGTTTTATATTTTTTTTTAAGTAGCCTACATACACACTCCGAATGGTGAGGCAGGGGCATTATGTAAGTGAGTGCGAACAAAATAGGCGTGCGTAATATAGGCGCGCGGGGGGGGGGGGGGGGGTAAACAGAAATAGCAGCGGAATATACTTATTGGAAAGTGTCAACTATAAATCACATTTCCCCGAGTGTTAAGCTATATCATCTGATTTATATGATCATCAGTGTATTACAAAAAAAAAGACATACGGGGGTTTGCCGCTCTATTGGGTAACTTTTTCACACAAAAATCCCTAAACATGGGTCTCATTCTTAACAAAAATATCCCTGAATATAGGTCTGCTTTTTCAAAATTTTGAAATGTTGAAAATTTTCCGGGATTTAGCCATGCAAACACCCCCAAAAAAGAAAAAAAATGGGCTTTACTTCGAGATAATTCAGCCAAAATGATCCTTAAAAATGGGTAGGGGTTTCGAGGCTTCTGCAGCGGCACACCCCTGTCAAAACCAAATCTGAGTACCCTCCCCCCCCCCCCAACCCGTGTTTGAACATTGTGATAGCGAATATTATACCTTTTCCTTTCTCAATGTTGTTATATTTCTCAGCTCACTTTTGACACAGAACTTGTATTCTCAAGCCAGGAGTGGACTCAAGGCCAGGGGGGGGGGGGGGGTGGGGCTTTCTGACTATCTACAATCTGCCCCTCAATAGTCCAATGTAAATGCCGGATACGCTGTTTAGGACTGGTGTTTAAAGGCACACTGCCATACTTGTAGCTACTTGCTCCCTCTATATAGAAAACTTCCCCAATCGGTGCCTGTTGGTCCCCCATGATCCTCTTTTTCTTATGTTAAATGAGAGCTGAGTTAATGAGATAGCCACCTGTCACAGTGACCTCGATGGCTCTCTGTGTGGTCTAATCCCTTCTGGCCCAGTATAGTGGTGACGGTCTTTAAGGCATAAGCATAAGTTGATATAAGTTTGACTCTTCTCTTCCTTCACAGATGGAATTAAATTAGTCTTGTAATATTTCAGTTTATGGTGATGGTGACCCAAAACTTGGAAAGAAAATTATTTGTTCATATTATCACATGTTTATTATTGTTCATATTATCCTATGTTTTTTCATTGGTATACTATTGTTACTATGTAAATATGTTTGCACTCTGAGATGGGGTCGATAGAGTCAATAAGATATTACAATCTTACAATAAACCCAGATTTGATGCATCGATCAGGCAAATAATTATTGTAACTAGTAAGCAATTTTAGAAATAAGTAGACTCTCTTGATAGCCAACTAAGTATGTCGAAAAAAGTTTTATTCTTGTTGGGGGGGGGGGGGGAATTAGAGAAAGGAATCCAAAGGAAACAATTAGGTCTAGCGCCATCTGAGTTCATGTGGCATGCAGGTTAGTGAGTTATTCATGTCAAAGGTTGCGTAAGATTCCGCGCGCTCTTGCATGCCCACTGCCTAGCATCTAGATAGCGTATACAGTATACAGCGCCTACACATACGCAACGAATGTACTTTGAACATGCCGAGCTAACGTAAACACTTCCTGGATTTACATACCCTATCAAATTCTTGGTATTTTTGATGACATTACGAACAAAACCACAATTGCTTTTGTTTATCCGTTCAAAAGACATTGAACATTAAGTGCGTGACTTTGTAGACAAGGTTTTGGAGTTATTGTCGGAGAATTCATCCAGCTCCAGTACATGCAGGATCAACACATTCGATCAATAATCAACTTTCGCAAATCAACTTGGATCTTGATTGAACGAATTTCAAGTCGACGAACACGAATTTCTTTCGGATAAAACAACTTGAGTGCCGGAAAGTTATTCTCCAGTTTTGTGGAACATGTTTTGAACCACTATTACCAGCAGTGTTTTGCCTCAATTTGACAAGGAAACAACATTTTGCAGTGGATAACCATTTTGCTCGTGCTTACCAACTGACCATTGCTCTACGTGCAACACTGGTGTTGCAAAGCTGGAGCCGGTAAAAATTTCCGCTCATTTCAGACTCATCCCCATCTTTCAGACCGGTAGGAAAGTGTCACCGGTTAGGACTCAAAGATGCATCGACTACAGACATTGATAAAAACAGGAGGGCCATCTATTTTGGCGGCCTCACGCTCGATTCAGAATAGAACTCTTTCGAGCAGAACGTACTTTAGGCCGCCTGCCCTAGATGGGCAGGCCCGCACGCCGGTGAATGTACACGCCACAACTCCCCGCGCCAATGTGAGACGTTATGCGGCTCCAGTGGCTGCCGAGCCGTTTTTGAGCGGCAGCAGTTCAAACTATGTGGAAGAAATGTATCAATCTTGGCTTGAGGATCCAAGTTCTGTACATAAGGTGAGCTGAGGAGAAATAGCACCAATGTGATTGGATTTGGAATAACATGAAGGAATAATCCATTATTAATTTCCTGCTGCTCGCTCTTGTTTAAAATAAAGTTTACACTTTATGTTGTTACTGCTGTTCAACATGACCAACTTTCTCTCCGTGTGATGCTGTGTTGATCATTTTGTGTTGCTGCAACACATATTGTTATCTACAATAATGAAGGGTTCTAGGACACCTTCATGTACCCTCTGGACATCCACCCCCAGATAACCAGCCCCAGATAACCACCCCAGTCAACTACCCCCTAGGCTAGGACAACAACTGGCGCAACTACCCCCTAGCCCTAGGACAACTACCCCCTAGGACAACAACTTGCGCGACTACCCCCTAGCCCTAGGACAACTACCCCCTAGGACAACTACCCCCCCGGACAACTACCCCCGGACAACTACATGTACCCCCGGACAACTGCCCCCTGGACAACTACCCTGCAACTACCCCAAGGACAACTACCCCCTACGACAACCATCCTCTCGAAAAACTAGAGGGTAGTTTTCTGGGGGTTAGCTGTCCAGGGGGGTATTTGTCCGGGGTTAGTTGTCCGGGGGATGTCCAGGGCCAGGGGGTAGGTGTGCTACAATAAATTTCCTGCTGCCTGCTCTTGTTTAATTGCTACTGCTGTTCAACATGACCAACTCTAGACCAAAGTTTCTGTCTCTTTCGTTTGTTAGCTTCTGATTTAGGTAGGGTCGGCTCCTCTCTTTAGAGACAGAAACCGACTGTAGGTGTTCCTGTTCAAACATTTTGCAAAATTATGGCCATTTATGGTCATATTCTTTGCCCAAAAAACTACCTTTTACCCTATGCATATCCGATGCATTTCATTTTGTAAATTAGGCCTACCGTATTTGCCGGCGAAAATATTGATAATTCGGGGTGCGGCCTTAAAGGCGAAAGAGTAAAAAAAAAAAAAAAAAAGTCAAGTCAAAACCAGCACGAATTTGCACATATGGGACTAGGAACGGTAAAATAACTATACCACTATAGTACAGGACATTTCCACACATCTTACCGACAATTTTATCTTATATTGTTGACATGAAGATGAAAATAAACTTCCAAAAACAACATCTGCCGATAGATCTTGATCTAAGTTCGTGCCAATGCATTGCAAAAGTAAAAGAAGGGCCCGTTTAACGGAGCTGCTGCGAAGCATCCAGCACGCGAAGTCGCTATTTTGAATCAATTTCAATACACAAGAGAGAGGCGCAATGTATACATCACAGAAAACTACATGGGTTACAGGGCTCAAATTAATTTTTTGTCCACGGAGGCTCTTCCCCCGAAAAAAGAGCCCCCGTGAGCCTTCTCACGGGGGCTCTTTTATTACTGACGGGGGCTCTTTTTTATAAAAATATCCATTGAATTGGTACCTATGATACTCCTCAATTATTTGCTATTTCATCATTATCATTTCAATCAGCATTTTCCCTCTTACAAATTTACAAGCTACATAGCTGTTACTGGCCTGTGTATATGCATATAACACTGATCTTTATGATGTCTTTACCGTGACATATCTTCTTCTCCCCTTGCAAACGAAAAAGAAAACATGGTCATTAAAAGGGATTTAGCGACAAATAATGATTGTGATTCAAATTGATGCAAATATTTGTTTAAATAAGCACTGCTATTCACCCGAATCTTCTTTGTAAAAACAACTTTTACAAATCTCAGCCATGCTTACTGAGTTGAGACGTTCCATTCAATTTAAAATACCCATCACATAATACACTTCTCCTAATCTCAAAGTGATCTTACAGCACAATGGCAGAATTGCATGGCTGAGATTTGTAAAAGTCGTTTTTACAAAGAAGATTCTGGTGAAAAGCATTGCTTATTCAAAAAAAATCCTTGCATCAATTTGAATCACAATGATTATTTGTCGCATGGTCCTTTTATTAAATAACGTTGTCTTCTGTTTTGTTTGCAGAGGGAGAAGAAGCTATGTCACGTTAAGAAATCATAAAGATCAGTTGTATTATGCGTATATACAGAATATGCGTATATGATACCAGAACAAATGTTGATTATCAGAATGTCATTTTGGAATACCTCTATACAAATACCACATTGTCTTTAGCCCGTATCAGTATTAGTATGATCCAATATAAAGCTATAATTCTTTATTTAATTCAGTATAATGCTTTTCCTCAAAAATAGTTTTGCTATATTTTTTTTAGGGTTGAGACGCTAAGAAATGGTTTCAAATGTACATTACACGAACCCTGAACCATTGCAAAATGATGGTGGTTCTCTCTCTCTCTCTCTTTATTTTAATCATGTATTATCAACTACATATAAATCAGCAACCAAAAACTTAGGGTTATCTGAGATAGGTGAAAGTAAGAGTTAAAAAGAAAGTCATGCTAAAACGGCGCTTCACTTCCCCCCGCCCCCTGAAAAAAATAAAATAGATTAGTAGTCCTCCTCTCCAGAATACCCTCCCCCCCCCCCCCCCCCCCCCGCTTTAATATCACATTTTCACTTGGCAGCCCAAGGGGGCCGGGGGGTGGGAGGAGGGGGTTAACCCCCCCCCCCCCCCCCCCCCCCCCCCCCCCCCCCCCCGCCGTAGATCTGCCCATGTTACCATATCATTCCACGACATTTTGGTCTTCCTCTTCTCCTCAAAAGGGACTTTTAGATTTGCGTGGATGTGGACGTGGACGTGTTACGTCCTTTTAAGGCACTGGCAATCACATGTGACGTCCTGGCAGAGCCTTAAAAGGAGGTCACACGTTGCAGTCCACGTTCTCATCGTGCAAATCTAAAAGTCCCTAATATTGATTTACTGGTCGAGGTTCATTATTTGCTGACAACAAAAAACTTCTCCAGGCCATGACCATGTTTCTGCCCTTGCCCGATCGCCTCCAGCTCCAGCAGACATGGCGCGGCAGCGTGCACACGCACCGCTACTAACGGCGCAGTAGGCCTATAACCACTGCTGACGGTGGCACTGCACTGCGAGCTGAATCGGTAATAATAGGCCTAGTCTACTCATAAAACGAGAAATCTTGCACGCTAATCTTAGTTCCATTTCATTGGTTTAAGGTTTGAAAATTGAAACTCAATATTGTGTTGAAGTTATAACAGAAAAGATTATCTTTATTTTATAATTCAACATACGGGGCGATTTTTAATTTTGCAATCGCCCCCGTGAGCAACCTGACGGGGGCGATTTTGTAGCTCACGGGAGCGAATCGCCCACCGCCCCCGTGTATTTTGAGCGCTGATGGGTTAGTATCAGTGCGGGATGGCCGAGCAGCCTAAGGCGGTGATTTTAGTCACATCAACATTTGTACGCAAGAGATCAAATCCCGTCTTCGACAAAAGTTTTTTTTTAATGTCAAATCGGGGGTGCGGCCTATATGGCGCTGCGGTCTTATCGCCGGCAAATACGGTAGGCTATTTAGAGACAGAAACCGACTATAGGTGTTCCCGTTCAAACATTTTGCAAAATTATGGCCATTTATGGTCATATTCTTTGCCCAAAAAACTACCTTTTACCCAAAGCATCCGATGCATTTTATTTTGTAAATTAGGCCTAGGCTATTATACATTGGTTCAACTTACCAACTTGACTGAATAAATCCGTTAAAATGGTCCCTTTTCAGGAAATTATGGGTCAAAATCGACATCCATGTTGAATCTTGCAGCCGTCTTTTAAACTCTTGCTGCGCATGACGTCATCTAAATATCATCCCTTGTAGTCCAATTTTATTCAAACTTTCACCAGTCTACTTCTCTGATATTTCTGCTTTCCTCAAGAGTAGTGTGCTATCAAGGTTAAATTTCCCTTTAATGTCTTTGAAGGATGTGTCCAAGTCATAAAATTCATTTTGTGAACTTGACCTCTAGCCCCTATATAATGACCACCAGTGAAAAATATAGAATACCCAAGGCCAAGGTGCATGTACAATGTACAAGTACATAATGCCCTCATCATTGTAAAGGGCCCTGCAATCAGGCATGTATTATCATCACCCCATCACTTCTGAATCTATACCAAAGTGGTAACCCCATCCTTATGACACTCCTACCAACCATATCTAGTTATCTATATTTCATAGACCAGCAGCTCAATGCTAACTAACACTATGAGTTGAAGGGTAGTTCATCATGCTTAATTGAAAATTAGTAGTAGATGTACCGGGTATTTTTTTTTAGAGTTTAAAAACATATAACATAAGACAAGAAAATTATTTATTGTAGTGGATCGAACAGACCCTATGATTTCCCTTGTGAACAGTTTTCCATTTCAATACTTCTGAGATTGACAAAAAGAAAAGAAAATTAATACAAAAATAAGAGAAAAGAAATGATACATACATTATAGTAGGGGGGCACACAAAAATAAGATGATATGACCCCCCCCCCCCACTCACCCTCATCCTACATACTACAATTTAATTATTGATGGCTTTGTTCAATCACATTTCATTCATGTAGTGAGACTGGTCCCCCCCCCCCCCCTCTATTAAAAAAAATCTTATAGCGCCAGTGCCTCATAGGCTGGACACATTCTTCTCCCCTGCAAAGCAAATGTGTCCATTAAGACATCCAAGGCACAGGTATAAATATCTTTTGTTAGAGAAACATGGATTCCAATAATAACTTCTTTCTCTCTTGTTTCCATCGCTTTGCATTCTCTCTCCGCAGTCATGGGACATTTTCTTCCGCAACGCTCAAAACGGTGCTGCACCGGGAACGGCGTACGTCCCCCCACCTCCCATCTCCAGCATGTACCCCGTCATGCCAGCATCCCAGGCGGCGACGTCACAAGCACCGGCGCCCTCACAGGCGGTTGCTAAGGGCCAGCTGGACAGGAAGGTCATCGAGGACCATCTTTCGGTGCAAACTATCATCAGGTCATATCAGGTCAGTTAGAGCCTCCAGTTCCTCGAAAATTTGATTTATTATGATTCTTATGAATTTTTTTCTTCTACAGATTTTGCAGGTCGTTCTTGTGAGATGCGCTTCTCGGCGTTTTTCACTACAATTCCTCCAAATACAGTTAAACCTGTGTCGGTGGCCAACTGTCTGTAGTAGTCATCTGTATTGTCCCCAAAGGAGAAATCTGGGACCCGTTTCACAAAACTTGCCATCAGTGACAAATGACAGTCTTTGTTATAAGCTACTGAAATCCTTGCTTCTGATTGGTTATCAGCAGGTTTGTCACTGATTTTTGTCATTTTTCATTGAAAAAAGTCTTTGTTAAACAGGTCCCAGGAATGCCTGTTGGGGGCCTGTGTAGAAAGGTGGTACCTGTCTACAGTGGTCACCTCAGTGCACATTGTATTACTTCAGAGAGAAGTACAATCAAACCTGTCTATCGAGGCCACCCAAGGAAGAAACATAACAAGTGACCATTGTAGATAGGTGGTCTTTCTAGAGAGGTTCTTCAACGCATTCTTTCTTGGAGGAGACAAAACACGTGGCCACTGTAGACAGGTGGGCATCATAGACAGGTAGGGCTTACCAAGACAGGGTTGACTGTACGAGTATAGAACCTGTCTAGAAAGGCCACCTGTCTACAGCACTCAACATCTTCTCTGTTTCTCTCCTGGCAGCACACATTTATGGCATGTGTTGTAGATGCATGAGAACGCAATGCAGTGATGTGATTTGAAATGCTACAGAAGTTACAGTGTTTTTTTTTCAATGAAAAATGTAGCCCACAATCATTTTAGTGTATTTTAGCAGGTCAAGAAAGGCCACTTGTATTTTTTGTAGCCCAAATACTTCAAGGTTTAAATCAGCATTGATTTTTTCTTCCCAATCCTGATTTAAAGTGATAGTACTTTTTTTTTCTTCTTCAGTTGATGTTAATTGCATGAATTGGTTTTGTCTCATTTCTAGAATTCTTTTTTTCTTTCTGTTTGTTTTACCTCTTTTTGACCTCTGTTTGTCTCTGTCTTACAAACTAATTTTCTACTTGTAATTAACCTTTTTGTAACTAACGCTCCTGGGAATGCAATGAATAACCGCAATATATTCATACTACAATAAAACCTTCTTAACATGTACAGTATAGCATGACATACAGATGTATCAATATTTTCCAATTTATTACTTCATTTTCATTATACATATTTTAATCTTAACATTGAGCAAGTACATGCAGTCAAACCTATATTTAGTTAGCGTATAAATTAATTTGTTTAATGTCTACTAAGTTTTCATTGTCAAAGACTGGATCTCCCTACAACAGTATGTCTACGTTTACATTTTATATGACATCACTAGCATATTCTAAAAGGGACCAAGATGGCTGTCATGAAATGAATACTTCATGTTCATGTTTCATCTTTAGGTTTTGCAAACAATTTGAAAATGAATGAAATGTAGATGGAGTAAATATAGAACAGAAAAAGAAAAAATTCTTGATCATGTATTTCCTTAAATAAAATATACCATCATCTGTTTTACCTTAACATAGTAGAAAAAGTTCTATTTACCTGTGCATTTTACATCCTTTTTTTATGAAAAGGTATACATTAGTATCACAAGAGTGAATACATTCAGTGAAACAGGCCAGAATACAAAAGTGCAACACATTTGTGTGTGTTTTTAGCCTCTTACATGTAGGTCATTTCTAGAAAGTGCACTGTACATACATGTAGACTCTGCCTTGAAGGCTCATTCATACATGTAAGCCACAGTGATCCACTGCGGTCAACAGCAGGGACGTAATAACGCATTGCGTGTTTATATTTTTGTCTCTTTAACATTCATAATAAAGTGAGTATGCATACCGCACAATGTAGGGCTTTGGGTTCGTTCAACTACTTTTATTCATTCCCACTCTCCATTCATTTACACATTAAAAAAAACAAAATTCTGCGATTTACCCTGTTACATGAGAACAGGCCCTAAAACAGGAAGTGTGTCAGTGTCATGATTTTAGCTATTCCTGTATTTTACTGTAAATGACCCCGGAGACTGGCCTCGCTACCTCAGAATTTTAACCAGAAGTGTGGATTTTAGTCATGATAATGACATTGATTGCAGTCTTTGCAGAAGACTTTTGAGTTGTGTTGTTTAAAGGTAATACAAAGTTTTGGTAAATTTTGAAAATAGGGTGGATAGTGATTCTTAACAATTTTGATATATTTTGATGCCCCTGTGGATTTATTATAAGCACTAGAAAAATTAGCCCTAAAACACTTCTGCTTTCGAGAAAAATTGAATATAAAAATTTACCGGTGCTCCCGGTAAATTGTGATAAATTTCAAATAGCGCCTACAGCCGTACAGTGGTAGCTGCGACAATGAAAATCTCAGAATATGTAGATGTGACATATAACTACCAAACGGGAATAGCTAATTGGTCGAGTTTAGGCAAGAAACATTGTTTTATAGCTTAATTAGTATATTGACCTTGAGAGGGAGCTATACAACATAAAGAGTGTATTATTTACAATGTCATAACTTTAGACTCGATTTCAACCGCGACAACGATCACTGAATATTGTAGGATCGCATATGCGTCCAATATGTTCATTTGGACCAAATTCATGACCCCATACCAAAACTTTGTATTACCTTTAAAGGCCAACATGACAAAATGAAATTAAGGATTTTAGAAATAGAATTGTTATTTTTAGTGGCACAGGCAATGACTATTTATGTAAATTTACACATTTTTAAAAACAATTTTTTTTATATACCGGTAGTATAATAGTCCGATCGAGCTTGACTTTACGTGCCTTCAGACAACTCAGAAAATAACCAAACAATGCCAATGTACTAGTATGTTAAAGCCACGATTCGTCCCTCAAATCACTTTAGGATTGCAGTAAGGCTAGGTTAGTGAATGGATGGTTTATTTAAGTGGGCAACAAATATGTGAGAAAAGAATTGTCTTTTGTTATCAAGGAATCCTTGCCAATCCTATTGACTTTTCCTTTCTCTTCAATTCACACTAATCCGGGGTATTTTCTCTCTCTTATTGGCTAGATGCCCAGACTCAAAGCTTCCCGCCTCCCACACACCCATGCCACTCCCCTTTTAATGTAGTCTTGTTTCCATGCTCTGTAGTACAGTAGTTATTTTTACTCTAATACTTACATGTACATGTCCAATTGTCTGCAAAAAGACAACATCAGTACAGTTATTGGTACTTGACTTATTTGAAAAATAAAAATATACCCAATACTAGAGAGCTCTTTAAATGGATGATCATGGTTTCTTGTTTCAGGGCTTTTATATTAATCATTTATCATTTGTCGTTATCAATTATTACATGTTCAAAACAAAGGTAACAGGAATTTAGGCCAAGCCAAACTTTCGGCTGTAATGTTCATTGCCGGTTTCCAAGTTCGGAAATTAGTCATTTCTGTCTCTTTGAGTTTGAACCTTGTATACTCTAACACAGACACCCCCTTCTGGCTCCAAATCGAAAGACGATATACACACGCAACACCAAAATAATTACGGTATAAAAGATGAAGTTGAGTTCTGGTCATGCGATTGCATTCTGAAAGAAACTGTAGAATCGATCAGAAAAGGTTGATCATCTAGCATAAGAATTTGTGTGTATTGCAAGGTTCTGGAATCATCAAAATTATAAGAAATTTGGCCAAGTCTTAGTAAAGTTACAAACACTGTACACAGAAAGATGTATATGGGACTACACGAACAAGTGGCATAAAAATCCTACCCAGATTTGTACGATGTTACATGACATATTTTGAATATGAAGGCATTTGAAGAGCCAAGCTTTTCAGGGAACATGTCTTATCTGATGTTCTTCCACACTTGCATAATAAGAATGATAACGCTCACAAATTATTTTTCACCTCTTCCCAGAACTCAACCTTCTCTTTAAAGACAAAATAATTTTCAGGTCACGAGAGCTCTTTTAATGGAGTTATCATCCTTCCGTTTAATCGCATTCATGTTATCACAATCACATTAAAGTTATCACAATCACACAGGAAAACAGATAAGAGAGTAATGGTTGGGACATTAATTGTTATGTACATTGGCATTGTATTCAGTAGCCTGTGTATCACAGTAGCTTTGATTTGATAAGAATGATGAATTGATAATAGTGATAAACAACAACAACAACAAGTTCTATGTTTTCTTTACATACACCTGTATGAGTAGATCTACACAATGTATGATTAAGTTTCATGCAGGTCTGGTAGTCTAGCAGAATTTAAAGAGAGAAAAAAAAAAACATAATTTTTGTGTTGAGTATTATAGTAGAGTGAGTATAAAAGCAACATGAACAGTACCCATGAACTGACGCAAAAGTTGCATGAAATCTGAAATTTAGAAATATAACGAATCATATCAAAAATTCAAAACCTAGTTTGAGATTTTGTAGGTAAAAACTAGTTTTTGTAGGTAAATTCTACATTGTATCTACAGGCAATTACAGTACATACTACGTGCCGGTCACATCAAAGGCTTGTTGAGATATGCTGCGGTTATTTTTTATGGGTAAAGATTGGATTATAAACTGCGCACATTCAGGAAGCTCTGTGCTATAAGATAAAATTAGACTGTATGAAAGGGATCACTTACAATGTATGTCACCATAAAAAAAACCTACTGTATGTACATGTAAATGGTTTACCTTACCATCTAACTGAAAGAGGCCTTAGAAGTCATAGACACAGGACTATAAATGATTAGTAATTTTTTTTTGACCATCCAAAAAGCAGAAAAGTTATGTCTTAATCTTATCATCTTTCCAACTTTATCGTAATCTTATCTATTCATTATGCAGTAGTGTACACTGTATGTAATTTTGTAAGATCATACACAAAGGCAAAAACAAAAGAATTCTACATGATATAAAAAGCTCATGTATGATTGTACATGATAACATCTAAGAATAAAATCATAAAAAAAGAAAGAAAATTGAACACTGTCCAAGAATGCACGTACACAATTTAAGGTCAATACAGCATCTAATAGACTAACGCACTACATCACGTAGGCTAAACATGTAGGTTACACATTTTAAGTTGTTTACTCTCGTTATACCATCAAATATACATTTGTTTAGACCATAAACTTTAAGTACAAATTGTACAGCATTAACAGGTACCGGTACCTACATATGTTATGTGTACAGGTTTGAGAGATTAGTGGTTTCCATGTACTTTTATTCTGGGTAACTGGGATAAAGACCCCACCTTACAAAGAATATGATTCCCCCATTGAGAGTAGCCTTGCTAGTAATAACAATAACACTATACATGGAGTTCGAACACACAAGGGGGAAGTACACATTTTGTATGGCTTTCCACTTTGTCATTGACATTGACAAATTCTCAATGACAGACAGTAAAGTCGGGCGGGTAGTGGAACTATTTAATGACTGCCGAAGAACTTTGTCCCCAGATAAGGGTAGATGATTCCAAAAGTAAATTTAGGTTATGTGATTCGATGAGTGTTTCTTTCTCTTTTTGTTCAAATGGGGCTGATGTTATTTATATGAGTTTGCAGAATGATTAACTTTACAGTTGTGCATACATTTATATTGAAGTTTATGATAACAATCTAAAGATAAAGGCTGAGGAATTTCTCCCCAAGGTATATTTTAATATTAACCTTGATGGAATAACCTTTTACACACAAAGTTTTTTGGAATTTTAAAAAAAATCTTGTACATGGACTTTTTCAATAGGAATCACAATGTACAATGTTGGGTGCATGAAGAGTTAAAGGAAAAACAGCAATACAGACAGCTATATTAATACAGATCTCATCAGAATGTACTAATTACACATGTACATTTTCTACAAAATGCGGGGATAATACCTACAAAATGTACAGTGTACATTACATTTTGGGGACTTAGACTATCTAGTACCCTCTCTCTCTCTCTCTCTCTCTTTTCCTCTTTTTTTCTTCTTTTTTTCTTCTTATTTTCTTCTGCCAAAAGCAGTATGTTTTGTTTGTACAGTACAAGTATATTAACATTGATTTTCCTGCCAGAAAACATTTCATCACAGGGCTTTATAAAAACAACATCAACAATAACAACAGCAAAAATCCATGAGGCCTAGGAAGAAAGCCTACAATTGAATTTGATTATGATAATAATTGCTTGGCCAATACTGTGATAACATTGTTTTGTCCTGTGTATGGTGATGCATTGATATGAAAGCTTTTTCTTACTTCCTACCCTCTTTTTAAATTGTCTTGTTGCTTGTTTGTAAATGTTTGCTTGTTTGTTTGTTTATTTATGTATTTCAAAACAGTTTGAACACTCTGTGCAGCAGGCCCAGAAATTATTACAGAATAAATGAACAAAGAATGGATGGATGGATGTAAAATTAGTACTAATTTTTGCCCGTACAATTTCTGTCTGTTTATTTATTTTAATGGCAGCAGTTTTCCTTGAATTAGCAATGACTAGATAATTACTCAGAATATTATTTGTTTGTTTCTACACATTGTGCATGTGTGTAAAATTGTTTGTGTCATTCTAACCTACAATGGATTGCTGTTAACTAACTCTTCTCCAAGACAAAAAATAATTGTTTGTTTCCTTTTGGAAGCCTCTATTAACCTTGACCAACTCCTGCTCTGAGGGACAGAAGGACACCCAGTCATGGCTTTTTAACCTATTTTTATGACATATTTTTGTATAGAAATTGTACCTGATTTTGACCTTAACCTCCTTCCCTTGTATTAGAGCTTCCCTTTCATGTCACAAAGAATTGACAGGTTTGAAAGAGGGAAGGAGAATGATAATTGGTGCTATTGTGAATAGAAGAAGAATGCTTGGGGCTGCCAATTTAAAGAATTGTGCAAGTAACGAGGGTCTCGGGACAGACTCCAAAATAGTGAACCCAAATGTCTTACTATGGTATCATACTGTCTGTCACATGCACCCAATTCTAGGGCAGTGTTTTTAAAATGATGCTTTTGAAAGCTATTAATGATTTTTTTTTAATGGAAAAAGGAGTATCCCTTAATAATTCCCTCAAACTTTTTTTTTCTAGGCACATGTAGAAGTTTTTTAATTCTGTGTATAAACAGATTTTTGTTCATACTTTGTCTTTTAAATGCATTCTTCTAACCCTTTGTTTGTTTGTTTTGGTGAACTATTGTCAATACACCTCTTCATACCGGTCAAACTCCTTGTAGATTCGAGGTCACTACTTGGCCAAGCTTGACCCCTTGAACATCTCGTCTGCAACGACAGGTAGCCTGCCAGATATCGTTGTCGCTGGCCATCCTACGTTGGGACTAGGTAAACTGATGGACACTGTCCTACATGGATAGAACAAGCCATTGTGAATTTCAGAATGGCTACTAACTGTAGGAAGGGTGTTGCAACAGAATGGATACAATTCAAAACAAATTTTTTTCAAAAATATTTTTAGATTTACCCATATTCCCATCCTGATTCCCATCCTGATTCCCATCCTGATTAGTGAAATAGATTTTCTTCAAGATGATACACTCTGTATTACCAGGCGACTCATTTAAAAGACGTGCACTGATAATGTTTACCAGGCCTGAGCCATAACAGATTTTTGTGAAAACAAAGCCTAAATCAACCAGAGTCTGATGCTCCAATAAATCTCTACACATTGGATAACTGGGAGGTTTGCTTATGCATTGTACAGAACAAACACTTGGCTTTTGAAGGTCAGAGAGACAGCTAGAATTTCTCTTCTTACAATGGTTAGGTGAAATCTCCTACCATGGGTTGCGATAAAAGACAATTATCTGTAACTTGATCGTCATGGTTCGGTCTTGCTTAATACATGTAGTTACTTGATTGTTTTGAGTTGTCATGAACTTAGTGCGTCTAGATCAGTCATTGCTTAAAATGAATTAACGTGCATCATGTACCTTTTCTATCTATCTATCTATCTATCTATCAGGCTATAGTTCATCCAGACGTTGGACAAAGCCCTCCTCATAACATTTCCATTCTCTTCTGTCTCTAGCTGTCCTAGCTGTCCTAGCTGTCCTAGCTGTCCTAGTCCATGTACCTTTTGACTCAATCAAATAAGGTGTGCACTCTACCTGTACAGTTATGTGTATTTCATTGTTTCAAGTTGTCATGAAGCTTCCTGGAGTTGCCCATAGATATCCTCATTATCTATCCTGTACAGTAAGTTCATATCTTGATCGGATGTAGTGAAGTGTTTTACTGCATAGTCATTGAAGCCAACGCTCTTTGGAAATAGGTGAATGAACTATCAAGCTCAAAGTACTGAAACAGAGATATCATGATCCATATAAAAGGCAAATGAACTAATCTTGTATGCCTAGTCCATTTTCATGTTTTATCTTTGGTACAGTATCCCAAGAGTCAACCTCATCATTACAACAGTCTGTTATTCTGTGAAGATAAAGGAATAATAAAAATGAATTAAAGCATGAAAATATGCATTGAAGGATATAGACAAAGATGATGGATAAAGACGGGTTTGATTTAGAAAACGAAGAAAGGATAAGAAAGGGAGGAGGATTAGAGAAGATAAAGGGAGGAGGAGGGGTAGAGAGGAGGAGGTGGTATAAAGAGAAGGGGGTATATGTACATGTCAAAGGGCAGAGGAAGAGGGAAGGGGGCGGGAATAGAAAGAGAATATAAAGAGGTGGTAATCTGACATTTGCTTTTTAAAAGCATCTATTTGCTTCGAGCAACTAAGATATATGGAATTGGGTTAGTCTTGCAAAATTGGGATTTTACATACATGTACATGTACATATGTAGGTTAGGATAAGGGTTGGGTTCAGGTTGAATTTCAAAACCTACATGAGTTAAGAAATTGACAGCAGAGCACTTGTTGCTCGAGTATTTATCATACAGCTGAAAAATAAAAAAAAATAAGGAGACAACAAATGGTACGCTCGAATACAGAATAAAGTGGTTAATATGAGAAAGGAAAGAAACAAAAGGGGAAGAGATGTCTAAAAGTAGGTATGGCTGTTAATGTCATCCTTTCTCGTTCTGAAAAGCGAACAGACGTCGCCGGAAGGAGATTCGCTGGCTCCGTAGAAAATCCACCTGTCTTCCTAGAGGCTGTTTGATTGGACGAGAAGTGACTTCCTCGTCTTCGTCTTGAAAGCATTTTTGATGAAGGTTCATTAGACCAGACTCGTATTGATCAGGTCGTATGTGTAGCTTGCATCCCAGGCTTTCTGCATATTAATCTTTATCAGTATACAATTCTTTAAAGGTCTCAGTGAATCATTTTTTTCCTCAAATTGGCAACACTTATTTGTATTTTCTACTCTTTCCTACATGTAGTTGAAAAATAAAAAATATAAAGTAAGTGAAACAGTGTAAATCAAAATTAAATGAGAGAAACATAAGAAATTGCCAACTTGAAAAGAAAATTAGAGATTGGAAATTCTGCATTGCCAAATTATAGACTTTCCAATTAAGCCACTCTTATTCATGAATAGCACAATGTAAAGCAACAGATTTGTATTCAAGTTTTCCAGTGATTTTGCAGTTTCTGCTCATGTATAATTTGTAATTCACAACATTCTGGATCACAAGATGAAAAGAAAACATCACTAAATTGCTTAGAGACTCCAAAGTGCTCTACATGTAGGTCAAAAAGAAGGTTAAATTTGGGGAAGGTGAACAATTATTTGTGTGACCTTCTCCATTCATTTTACTTTGGTGTGAAAGGATACTGTAGGGAGAAAAAAAATGTCTCCAAAAAAGATGCCCTTCCGATGCTCTCATATTTGAAATATAAAAAAAGAGATTCTTGAAGTGCATGGGCCAAACTTTCATGCCTCATGTTTGTGTAGTCCCATGTACCTATTTCTGTGTGCAGTGCTTGGAATTTTCTGCAGATAGACTATCAACCACTGGAGTACTGGTCATGTGATTTCATTAGGAAAGAAACGGGAGGCGATTGGGAAAGGGTTGATTATGTACATGGAGTACACAAGATTGAATGTGTACTGTGAGGTTATGGCACCATCGTAATAAATGAAGTGATTAAATTTCACTGAAAATCACTTGCACTGCACGCAGAAAAAGATTTATTGGACTACACACTCATGTGGCGTGAAGGTTGGGTCCAAATTTATCGGCTTTTTCTTGTCATATTATGTACAACGGCAATCAAAGAGCAGTCTTTCTTGAATATGGGATCTTCTTCTAAAATGACATAAACAGAATGAGAAAACTCAGCAACAACAAAAATCAATTTTTCAGAAATTCACCTTATTTTTAGACATTTAAAAAAAAATTGGGCTTCAAAACAAAGATAAAATAAATGACATTGAACAAAGATGACAGTAATTGATGTGAGATACTAATTGAACAAGTGGAGGACATAATGGGGAATATAGTGCAGTTCCATACAGGTACCAGTATATTTTCTACAAATTAACATACAATGTGAGAAAACTTTTAATTGAATTTGCGATACAAGATTCTAGATAATACAATTGTATATGCCTGCATAATTTGCTTGTCGATTAAAGTTGATTAAGTTGTAGATGTTGATTTGATTTGATTTGATGTGATTTATTGGTTTCTGCTTTTTTTTTTCATCATACATTTTCATGAACATAATATGGCTTGATACAATATTTTAAGTGTATATAATTTTATACAGATAATAAATAAAATTAAACAAATATATTGAATGCATAATTAACATACATTAGATGCAGGAGGGCTACAGAAATAAGCAAAGTAGCTTGACGTTCCCGCAGCTCTCAACTTAGATACAACAATAAAAATATAAATAAAAAAGAGTGTGACTTGCAGAGAAGAAAAGGAAAGGGGAGAGAAGGAGCCTTCTGATTAAAAAAAAAAAAGATGGAGAAAGGGGAAGAATGAGATAGAAATACAAATTAGATCCAGCATTAAAATAACATTTTGTAGATAATTGGAAGAAGGAAAGGACAAGAAAAAATTAAGTCCACTCTTACTTTTAAATGTACATGTACAGTACATGTATCTTCGCTATGTTTAATCTTTTTCTTTAAATGCTTTAAACTGAATGACAGTCAAAACAACTGATAGTGAAGAAAAAAAAATCTGTTTAAAAGCTCTGGGATGAGACTAGTCTCGTCTCCAACTTATGTTAAAGTGTAGCCCTCAGTCTGGAAATTGGAAATCAAATTAACCTTTTAATGCCAATTTGGAAGGGAAATTTATTGACTGACTTATTATTCCATTTAGCTTGATTGAATGATGCTGTGTGTTAAACCTGTATTCAATCAAAGTCAATATAAGACAATGGAGTGCAATTTGATAAAATTCTAGTCTAGGGCATTTCATTATATGGGGATGAAGACTGGAGTACAATACTAGAAAAAAATAATGATTTTCAACTGGTATTTTAAAAATACTTCTCTTATAAAGAAACCGTGGGGTTCTCCCCTGCATTATCTGTTCATGTAGAGGTCATGATACAATAGAAATTTGAACATGTTTACTTCCTCTTTCAATTTTGATTTTGTGTGTTCTGCACTTCTGTGTTCAATTAAAATTGAACTTAAATTTTTTTTTTTACTGTTGTAAATTTACAAGTCAATTTACAAAGAGAGATAATCATAAATCATAGACAATTACATTAATGGTTGACAATTATATACTGCAATATAGAATCATGATAGCTTTGAGGGGTAGGATACATGATAATCAATTTTATATGACGAGGATAACGACAGAGCGAGAGAATAGAAGTACTTGGGGAAATGCCCTTCTGGTTCCAAACGCGGATTACAACATCAGTAAAACATCAGTAATGTCCTTATGTAAGATTAATATGCTTTTATCAGTCTGTGGGGAGATTCAGAGAACCATTGTTGGGGGGAATTAAATCTATTGCCAAAGTTGAATGGATATGAACGATGCACATACAAAATTGATTATGAATACATCCAAGGGACTCAAGATTATTAGATCTTTCAATGGAATGAGCCAACAAGTTAATTAAATTTGTTTACATTTTTCATTACAAAAATTAACGTAGGACTAACTAGTGGGAGAGCAGACATGTATCCCCATTCATTCTTGATTTGTTATTGAATCATTTTTTTGATAAGGGATGTTTTTTTCAGTATTCATAGAAGCAAAAATCTAAAACAAATATAAAGCAGAGTTAGAAGTCAAGTTCAAGGTCTCCTTATGACTCAGGCTCTAGTTTTAGATAAATGTTGTATTAAACCCATTGATATTTTTAATTTTTTCAATCAAGGCTAATTTTTTCTATTTACATATTGTCAAAAAGGAGACTGAGGGCGAAACCACTCCAA